CACTTTTCAGGAAAAGAAAAGAAGAGATATTACTGAAAAATGTTGTCTAGAATTGATGCAGCACAGTCTATATTTTAAAAATTGCAGGTTTTTGTAAAAATTGAACTACACTTTGAAGGTGCTCCTGGCATTGAAGGTGCTAAGGGCGGAAGGTACTGATGGTGCTCCTGGCGATGAAGGAGCTGAGGGCAGAAGGTACTGGTGGTGCTCCTGGCGATGAAGAAGCTGATGGCAGAAGGTTCTGATGGTGCTCCTGGCGATGAAGATGCAAGCGTTGAAGGTGCTGATGGTGAATCCCAAATCTGTAAACAAACAAAAATATCAACTAAAATTTATAAACATATAAAAAGTCTCAATATATACCTTAAGAATGTGACTAAACCGCAGCTGTTTTGCAATCTAAAAGAAGAAATTACATTATAATCACATAAATTTGTTAAATACGTATTCTTACCTTCAAAATTTTGCAAAGTGATATTTCCTCACAGTATGTATACTGTCATCAACACTCCGATGTTTCTAACTTGCTCGCTCTAACGCATAGAATTCTTATTAGAATACGAATTGGTATCGGGTATGTAGCTCTAACAAAGGGGCATTGTTTTGACAGTTCGAAGAAAAAATTTGTAAGTGTGTGGGTGAGATGACGAAAAAGTTATGAATGTGTTTGTAAATCGTTTGAATTTCAGGGGAAAGTGGTGAGCCGTGTCTGGCAGGGTACGTTTTCGATGTTTGCATTATGGGAGTAAAAGATGTACTGACGAAATGTATGAATCGCGTTTTAAAACTGCTACACGTTCAATATTTATTGACGGTATTGCGATCCGCGATCTAGATTTCAAAATTTTTAGAAATTTTGCGAAGTGGATCACGATCTATCAATCCTGCATCCAAAGCCGTCAATAAATATCGCGATACTAGGATCACGGTAATAAATACTCACCGTGTGACAGGGCCCTATAAGGCTGAAACGATACGAGTAATCGATACCTTTCATTCGATACCTAACCTAAAAGTAGGAATGTTCGATATCGAATCGATTATTCTCAATATCGATGTTTGATGTTGCGATAATCGATTATTTGAATCGATATTCCCAGGTCGATATATCAAAGACATGGATACTTTACCCGCAATATCCACCCAAAAACATTTCGGCCCACTTGCGCAATATCCAAGGTTAAATTTATAAATTCAGAGTTAAGTAACCTAGAGTTAAACTGTTATTTTTATAACCCCAGCAGTGCATTGCAGAACAGATATTTTAAGCCGAATTAGTCAACTCTGTCTACTTGCGGGTATTTTTGATTTTGGTTGGCATCACTGACTCCTGTTTGCATCATTTGTTTTGGTTATTCATATTCGTCAGCTGTTTGAAAATTAGAACTTCAGTAATTTCAGTGAAAGCTGCTTGAATTTAGAAAACTTTCGTAAGTATCAAAATATAATGCAATAAATGACTACTTACAAGTTTAAATTATTAAATCTTCATATAAATGTATTAGATACTGCAAGCATTCCCGAGACTCTGGAGACATAGGAGACCAGGATCAGGATTTCTCATTCAATACATTACGTTAATTCAGGTAAGCAAAAACCTGACGTTTATTAATTTTACACAGCGTAAACTTAAATTTCTTGGATATTTTCGTTAAAGAACTATTTACATCTTTTAAATTGTAGCCAATGATGCAAGACGAAGCGAAACCGCGGCTCCGTGCTCCAAGTTTCACCATGGGTGAAAGTTTGCTTTTGTGCGACATTTTAAAAAAGCACAAGCACATTATTGAAAACAAAAGGACCGACGGAGCTAGCCTCAAAGAAAAAACAAAAAGCGTGGATGGAGGTGGCTAGCGAATATAATTCCACCACAACAGGTTACATCCGGACAGTAGATAGCCTGCAGCAAAATTATAAAAATATTAAAAAAAGACAAAAAAAAACAAGCATCTAGTGCCATAATGGGTATTCCAGGTATGTAAATGTTATACAACTTTACATAGTTTCATAATAAAAATAATTTTGCTTTCATAGTTGATAGAACTAATATTATAGAGATGGTAGAGGAGCATGGTACGTCTCCTGACGGATGGGAGAAAATTGCCAACAGCACTGGTGTTCCAGCCGACACTTGTCAGGAAGTTTTTTTGGAGATGGTAGAAGAGGCAGATGCGCAAGAAAGAGAGTTAAAGAGAAACACCTTGCGTACAGGTGAATATAAATTTATTACTTTAAATGTTTACAAGATAACTTTTCAATTGCAACTTACAGGCGGAGACCTTTACCAAAAGGCAATAACGATTCTCGTATCGATAAAGTAAGAGGTTTAGTTCGGCCTGCCATTGACGGATGCTATACAGTGTATGATGGTGATAGCAGTCTGATCACAACTCAGGAGGGCATAGTACCGATTGAATCATCGTTTAACCATGCAGGTAGCCTTACTGACTTCTATGTTTGGGATTTAATTTGTGTACATACATATTTATATCTGGGAATTTAATTTTTCAGATGAAGTTCCTGAAAAAGAAGCAACCGAAAAGACTAACCATGTTGTAGCCGCTACAACAACAACAAACCATGATGAATCGGACTACTTCACAAACGACAGAGCCAATTTAAAAAAAGAGTCCTCATCCTTTGTTGACCCGTGAGTATCAAATGTTTGGTTAATGTCAAGTTATGTGTCGGTAATGATTTCTGCTTTAATTTTTAGGAAAGAGACAACTTTCGTCAGCAGGAAAAGAAACCATTTCCGAAAAGTTCAGAGTACTGGCGTCTGAAAAGTTGGGATTAGTATCGGCTCAAAAGGAACTATTACAGGTACAGTTAACAGAAGAGGAGGAAAAACTAGAACATAACCGTTTGTTAAGGAAGATGCCGATGGAAGAAGCAAAAAGGCAGTATGAGGAGAATGAAGAAAAATTAAAGCATGACCGGTTTTTAAGAAAACTCGAAGTTGAAGACGCGCAAAAAAGGTATGAGCATAACGAAATAAATACAAAACTTCAGCTGGAAAAGTACAAACAATGAGAATTTTATTTATAACTTTCCTACCATAAGCTTAAACGAATTTTATTTTATTATTAGGAAATGCATACACTTGTGGTCGGCTGATTAAGTTAAATCACATTTTGACCAGTTTTGGCTATTTTTCTCTTGTCTATTTAATGATTATTTTTTTTTTTATAAACGCTTAGAACATTACATAACCAGCACCACATAAATCCACATTTCAAACTTCGTATAAAAATTATAAAAATTCATCAAACTTTAACAATAACAACCAAAAATTTTTAACTTTTTATTTTAGAAAAATTTGCACTTTAACCTACTAAAATTCAACCGGCTATGAAACTGCATATTTTTCTTTTTATTTTTATAAGATATGTAAATATGCAAAGTATTTTATTGTAATTTTTTTCGATAATTTTTTACAAAAATATAGTTCACTCTACACCAAAGGACATAAAAATAAAATCTCTAAAATTTGTGCAAAACTCAGGAAAATTCAATAAATTTGCACACATTTTTCAACTTTCTATTCATATTTTTAGAAAAATTTGTGGTATGCAGTTTTATAGCCCATTCAGTTATGGTATAACAAAGTGCAACTTTGAAGTTGCTGGAAAATCGCGTTGGTTTTTGGTAATTTTTTTCACGAAGGTTCTTCCAAACGTAGTTGTTGTTGTTGTTGTAGCGGCTACAACAACCCCGCCCAGGTCGGTTGGTATCTCAGTCGTTGTCGTCAAGTTCCACTAACGGCAGCCATAGAAAGCGTGCAGCTTCTGCAGGGTCGGTCCACAGGGACAAGGCCGTTAGGGTTGTCGGGTTTTCCGGGCATGCGAAGAGATTTTTCGAGTCATGTGGGGTCTCTCCGCATGCCGGACACTCATTTGGCACATCCTCATTCAATCTACTCAGGAGTTTAACCTGCTGCTGTAGCCGGACCGAAGTTGTGCTAGTGTCGTTCTCGTCTCCCGAGGCAGATGAAGCTCCGTCTCGTCTGTGTCCGGGGGCGGTGTGCCTAGAACGGCATTCATAGGTCTAGAGTCTACATAACTCAGACTGACTCCCTGTGAATGCCGTTCAGGGCCAGTCGGTAAGCTGTCGGGTCCAGAGGTTGCTTGATGAACCTCTGGACCTCGTCCGTCAGTTCATATAGATGCCTCCTGACGTGCCTAGGCGAGGGCTCCTCTGCAAGCAGCTGTCTGTTTGGGTGGCCACTTCTGTGGCTCCCGACCACGAACTGCTTGCAGAGCATGATGTTGTGCTCCTTTACGGGGAGCATTTGCGCCTCGCCGTGAAGATGGTGTTCGGGTGACATCAGGAGGCATCCTGTCGCTGTCCTGAGTGCGGTGTTCTGTGCAGTCTGTAGCTTCGTCCACTGCGTCCTACTAGTCCCCGGCGACCACCCTGGCGCTGCGTAGTTCAAAACCGGCCGGCCTATTGCCTTGTATGTTGCCAGCAACGTTTCTTTGTTTTTGCCCCAAGTGCTGCCGGCTAGCGACTTGAGGACCTTGTTGCGGCTCTGTACTTTATTGACAATAGCGGTTGCGTGCGCAGAGAACGAGAGCAGGCTGTCGAGTGTTACTCCGAGTATTTTGGGGTTATTCACTGTCGGAATTGGTGTATCATCGACGTGAATTCCCAGCGGTAGCCTGACCTCCTCCGTCCAGGTTATGAACAGGGTCGCAGAGGATTTCGTAGGGAGAGGGCTAGACACTTTGCAGTGAAGAAGCGAGAAAGTTCGGAGAGATACCCGTTTACTTTCGAACACAAGTCATCAATTCCATTCCCAGTCGCCATGATCGAGCAATCGTCGGCATAAGAGACAATCGAGACTCCCTCTGGTGGTTGAGGGAGCTTTGAAATGTAAAAGTTAAACAGTAGCGGGGAAAGGACACCACCCTGTGGAACCCCCTGTTTTATTTTCCTCTGTTTACTCGTTTTTTCTCTAAACATTACCGACGAATGTCGACCACTCAGATAATTTGCCGACCACAGTTTGAACCTCTGTGGGAGAGGAGGCCTCTATATCTTCTAGTAGCGTGGAATGGCAGACGGTGTCAAACGCCTTTGACAAGTCCAACGCTACTAGAATCGTTCTCTCACAGGGACGGTTTCGGCTAAGGTCACGAGTTATCTGAGTGTTTATGGCGTTAAGTGCTGTTGTTGTGCTGTGCACTTTAGGGAAACCGTGCTGATGCTTCGCTGGGGTCAAGTGGTTTGTGAAGTACGGGAGTAGCAAGGCCTCGAGTGCCTTCGCTACCGGGGAAAGGAGCGCTATCGGGCGATAAGAATCTCCTTTGTTGGCAGGTTTCCCTGGATTGAGGACCTCTGGTAGGTACGCTACCCCCGCAGGACCCAAATTTTTCAGCATCAGCATGCATATTCCGTCGGGACCCATGGCTTTGGAGGCTTTCGTCTTCCCGATGGCCACCTGAACTTCACCGCAAGTGAAAGCAAGGGGGGCACAGGTTGTTGGCAGTTTGTGCAACCTTCTGGTCATTCGACGCTTGGCTTTGTCCACCGGAGGATGCAGTATGAACTGCCGGCTAAAATAGCTCGCGCATCGCTCCGGGTCCGACGAAGCATGGTCGCCGAAGGAAATTTCGACTCTGTCGTCGTGCTTCGTCGGATTGGACAGCGATCTCAGGGTTGACCAAAGCTTGCTCACACCAGAGGTGAAGTTACAGGTCTTCAGATGCTCCTCCCACTTCTTCCGCTTATGTACGTTTACTAGTTGCCGAATCTCCGCGTTGAGATCCCTGATACGGGGATCTCCGGGATCGGCCTGACGAAGGCTATCACGCTCATCGGCTAGAACAGCCGCTTCGGCAGGGAAGTTTGGACGTGGGTCCGTTATACATCCTGCCGGTATGAAGCGAGCTGCAGCAGCAGTGACAGCCCTGCGGAACTTACGTTCACCGAGATGGACGTCGGTTGGTGTGGGGAGCGCTGTGAAGGTGTTTTCGGTAAACTCCGCGTAACCTTTCCAATCAGCTTTAGAAAAGTTGATATAGGTCCGGTGTTTGGCGGAGGCAAAGTCGGTTGGTTTATCTGTATAGATGACTATGGGTATGTGGTCTGATGCTAAAGTCAGCATAGGTCGCCATGTTATGCTGTTTATCAGACCAGCGCTGACTATGGTGATGTCTGGCGAGCTACTGCAGTTACCCATAATCCTGGTGGGTGCGTCGTCGTTCATTGTGCAGAATGTCGAATCGTCTATCTGCTCAGCCAAGTCTGTTCCCCTACGATCGTTTGACAGGCTTGAGTGCCAAAGATCGTGGTGCGCATTAAAGTCACCTACTACCATACGGTTTTCACCTCTGAGGAGCGCACCTATATCAGGGTGATATCCTGCCGGGCAGCAGGTGACAGGGGGTATGTATATGTTAAATATTTCGAGCTCAACATCGCCTGACCGGATAGCTATGCCCTGACATTCTAGGGTGGTATCCCTGCGGTCGATGTCTGCTTCGATAAGACGATACTGCACGGTGTGGTGCGTGATGAACGCTAAGCCACCACCATTATCTCGCTCGCGATCTCGACGGTGCACGTTGTACCCGGCGCAATTCAACAGAGTTGAATTGCTGTGCAACTTCGTCTCTTGGACCGCAGCTATTAATATACCGTGCCGACACATGAAGACGGTTATCTCCTCAATCTTGCTCTGTAGCCCGTTACAGTTAAATTGGAGGAGCTTCATGTGGTTCGGGAGACGTGTCGTGATGTGGGGTGTGAGTGAGGTGTATGTTCTTGCCGCCGTTGGCTGTGTGTGCTGCTGAGGTGGTTGCCGCCCTGTGGTGGTGGTCGGGGGCGTCGCAATTGACGTCTGCGACCGAGCAGCACAGCACGGGCCCTCGAAATTCCCCGTCCAATCTCGCGTGGTACGCAGACCTGAACATGCCCTAAAGTGGCACCAGCCGAGGCAGGTGTTGCACTTGACTGATGTCACATTACGGAATATTCTGGTCTGACATACCGTGCAGATTGTAGGGGGAACCAGGAGTTGTTGGCGGCGGCGTGTGGGTGGTGGTGCGGTTGTGTGAGTTATGTGGTCTGTGGTGGCTGTGGTACGGTCTGTGGTGTTGTTATGTTGTTTTGTAGTGGCGACTGTGTGTGGTTGCTGTGTGAGTGTGTGGGGCTGCACGGGCGGACTATCGTTTGCCGTGGAGGCTGCTCTGTTAGAGCAACAGGGGGCCACGTAAGACGTGGTCCACTGCCTGTGTGTCCGTAGTCCCGAGCAGACCCTGAGGTGACTCCACCCCTCGCAGGCATTACACTTGACTGAGGTGGAGTTGTGGTGTAATCGTCTTCGGCATACACAGCAGGTGTATATTTCTGGCCCAGGGTTTGACTCGATGCCAGCCCTGAGTAGGAGAATGCGTAGTGTATGTTGCCCTATGGACGGACAACTTCTGAGATACTTCGCCGACCTAAACGGGGTTAGATCGCCGAAACAACAGCCCTTGGTCGGGTGAAACCCGAGTCATTCCGGTACGTAGAACCGGCTGTCGTGGGAATGGGCGCTGTGTGGTCTCTGTTAATGGTTATTCTTCGGAATCTTTCATTGCCTCATCGGGGGTTCCTGAAGGTAGCATTTTAGGTCCCTTACTCTTTGTATTATTTATAAATGATGTGAGTTCTTGTTTTTCATTTGCTAAATTTTTCCTGTATGCTGACGATTTAAAAAGTTTAGCTGTGATTGAAAATTCGCATGATGCGCTTAGACTTCAGTCCGGGATTAATATTCTACACAGCTGGTGTCTCAGCTCTCGCCTTTCTCTGAATATTAAAAAATGTTTTCAAGTTACTTGTTCCAAGTCACAGTATTCTTTTGACGTCTTATGTAATCTCTCTAACTCAACTTCAAAAAGTTCAAGAAATCGAAGACCTTGGTGTAATTTTCAGCTCTAATTGGCATTTTAACAGTCATATCAGTCACATCATTTCTAAAGCTTACGCTGTGC